CGCCAGAAAGAATTGTCATCTTTTTAAAAAATAAATTTTATATGTATGTATGTGTAAATTTTATACTGTTTTATTTCCTTTCCCCCATTAGTCGATAGTATACAAAATTAAAGAATAAGTAGGTATACGTGACGAATTCTAACTCGATAGCTTCGAGGGGGGTATCAGGTTTCAGCGGACATGTCTGAACATGTTTCACGGTTGATGTCATGCGGAAGGAATAGGGGGAGGGGGGATACATCTTAATAAAAAAAAAACATCCTACCTTAGTCCCCTCTCCTAAATTTCAGAGCGCTGATTGGGCGTTCCAGAAACATTAATTTCCCCCTCCTTCATCATAGTTTTGGAAGTTGCCGCGTATATTCGATTAATTTTATACGACTAGTCTCGTATCGACTGCTTGTGCGAACGGTGTTCACTTCTCATATCCGAGAGAAAGAATGTATTCCGTTGAAGGAAGCAACGGCGGTAACAGCAGTGGCAGTAGACGTATGAATTATTACGTACCGATTCACGATGATGATGATGAAACTCCATCGTACGAGAACAAGTGTAACAAGTAAGTTTTTTCGTTTTTTTCTTAAAAAATTATAAAGCTTTATATTTTTTAAATTGCAAATTATAAATTGTATTATTTTTTTATTACTAATTTTATTATTTTTTTACAGCATTTCGTTGAAGCGTCGCGCGGTTCGAATACTCAGCAGACGATACGCGTTGACGGCTACGGGATACAAATTCCTTGAAGTTGGCGTTAACGTGGGTCCACCGAGTTACGTGGAGATCGCCGTAGGAGATCATCGAGGAACGGAATTGATACTGTCCCTCGAAACGTGGAAGGGATTCTACGAACAACGACGGAACATTCTGAATTTCATTCGATCCTCTAAAGATACGTGTGATTTTATAAGCATTGGACCGCTAACATTGAGAATTTGTACGATTAACGGTGTCAAACTCGTACGTCTCGAGTCTTTAAACGTACGCTTAACGATGATCGAATCGACGTTACACCGTATGCTCGATCTTGATCCGTGCATCGACGCGATGTTCCATCGATTGAATAGAATTGGAGCATCGGTTCGTTTCAAGTTCACGCAATTCTCCAAAATCGCGTCTACTGTAACGAATCCTACGCAAGTATTGAATGTAATACGCGATAGCGATGCCTTCGATAAACATCAGCTCGTCGATTGTGAGCTCGCAGCTTTATTTTTTAGTGCGCTACCGTAGTACGTAAAAAACAAAAAATATGTAAAAGAAGAAGAATAAAAAAAATGTAATTTTTTTAAATATAAATCACGACTTAATTTCTTCACACGCATTTCCATTCGAGCCGTATATGCGACGTTCAACTCGAACCATTCGATTGAAATTTAAGGTATATCATATATCGTAAACTATGAAGCCATGCTCCGGCGACGCTCGCCTATGTGGTGTTGATGCTCCAACGAATCCTTTCTCGCTATTGTAATGCTAGATATATTTTATCTTAATTACTTTTCTGAGCTCTGGTTCAGTCCTCTGCAGTCAGTTAAGTCAGTAGTGTGAAAACGTTCGCAAGCGCAAGTAGACTCGCACTGTGTAAGAATACGAAATGGACCGAGAAGAAGAGGAACGAGATGAAATGGAGCAGAGATATCACGTAATCGAACAATGCATAGATATTGTGTACCCCGCAGTAGGAGTATGTATACTTAATACCGTTGCGTGCGTGTCGCCCGGTATGCTTTTCGAACTCCAAGTTGAAGCGTGCAGTTCGTCACGACGATCGTTTAAATCGTCGTTATTTTCGTGAGTGCGCGAGTGTGAATAAGTGTCTGAGAGAGTCACGGACTCACTGTCGTAACATTTTTTGAAAAAGCATACCGGGCGGCATGCACGCAACAATACATAATTGTATATTATATAGTTTTTAAAAAAATTAACCATTCTCTGTTAACGCGTTACAGTGGATATGGGTCGACAACGTGCCGGTGCGCGAGGTCCGCCTTTATAATATGGTGAGGGTTCGGATCCTTCACAGACAGGTGTGTTTAATATTTTTTTCACAGATTTTAATTTTTTTAAATTTTTTAAACTTTTTTTAAATTTTTTAAAATTATTTTCCAGGATTTTATATATTTCGATGAAATCCGAATTCGGGGATTCATCAATATTCATCGTCAGCGTTTGGTACGCTGGTTTAGAAGAGTGGATTCCGAATATAACGAGGAAATCTGGGACGTTTTAGGAGATGAAGATATCTTCCAATTACGAAGATTATTCGATATGCAAAATGAGTTTGACGTTGAAGAGGAAGAGGTGTGGTAATTTTTAAAAAATTTTTTAAAGTTTTATGAATAAATATTTTTTATGCTTAATTCTATATATCATTTATTTTTCCGCTTTCTTCACTATTATTAAGTATAATAATAATAATATTTTAAATAATAATAATTATTAAGTTAAATCCGCGCGAGGAAAAGAGAACGCCAACGAAAAGACGCGCGCGAACGGGGGAGAGACAAAGGAACGGGAGCGAGAGAGAAACCGCGCTGAGGGAAAGACAACGCGAACGAGACGCGGGCGAGTCGTGTGACGTCACGCGGACCGACGTGGCCGTTGGACGCGGACCCCCATAATCCCGCGGCGCGCCGCCGATAAAATTCCAGTAGCCGAACGGCGCCCATCGCCTTTGTATACTCCGCGCCGATAAAGTGACGACCCCCCCTCCCCCTCCGGACCACCCTCGGCGTAAAACGCGGACACCTCCCCCCCTCGGCGGTACCCTTGTCAACGATACGTTTATTAACATTTAATAAACATGTCCCGACATGCTCGCCGACCACCCCCCCTCCCCGCGGACCACCCGCGCCCTCGAG